CTTGTCAAAGGCCTTCTGGATGTCCAAGTAGATAATATCCATTGGCTGTCCTTTGTCTAACCAGCTTGTTAGTGCCTCAGAGAATTCTAATAGATTTGTCAGGAAAGACCTCTCCTTGCGTACCATGCACTTCCAAATATTCAGTCCCACCCATCCCATAACCTTACCAACGACCAAGGTCAAGCTAATCTGCCTGTAATTTCCCGTCTTTTGCCTTGATCTCTTTTTAAACGGAGTGGGGGAGGGGTTATGTTAGCAACTTTCCAGTCCTTTGGGACCCTCCCTCACTGCAGTGAGTTGAACTGAACTGTTGAACTAATTTTTATCAGATGAAAGTAGCCAACTTGAGTTTGTGAAATGCAAATCTTGTTTAACAAATCTGATGAAGTTTCCAGGAATGTAACAAAAGGACTGGAGAGGACAGCATGTCAGAGTTGGTGTTTATGGATAAAATGGTACATTCCAGTCCTGTCAGCAAAGTTAAAGTCCATGGAATCAGGGGGTCAGTGACAGAATGGATGTGACATTTGCTGCATGACCAAGAACAGGGAGCTGTTGATGGTTGTTGTGTTGAACTGGAGGATAGAATATAGAATTCACAATTAGGATCACTGTTTTTATTGATATCCATTAATGATTTAGACTTGAGTTCAAAGGAATGAGGCATTAAAGCATGAAAATGGAGCACTGTACTTGCAGGATGACTTGTGATTCATTTAAGAAGACACCAAATCCCTCTGCACTACAATATTCTGCAGTCTCCGTCCAGTTAAACAATATTCTGCTTCAATATTCTGCCCTGATCATTTTTAAGAAACAATTAGGTAGACTTATAGAGGCCAAAGGTTTCAAAAGGTAGGGTGAGGGAGCTGGAGTATGGCTTTCAGATGAAGGGTCATGTTGAATGGTAGAGCTGCCTCAATGGGCTACTCTGACTCCTATTTTCATGTTTCTATGTATCAACTGGGGGTTACCATTCACCAGAAACTGAATGGAACTCACCACATAAACACAGTGACTATAAGAGCAGGTCAGAGGCTGGGAATACTGCAGAGAGTAACTCACCTCCTGACTCCCCAAAGCCTGTCCACCATCGACAAGGCACAAGTCAGGGGTGTGATGGAATACTCCCCACTTGCCTGGATGGGAGCAGCCCCAACAACACTCAAGAAGCTCAACACCATCCAGGACAAAGCAGCTGTGTGATTGGCACCACATCCACAAGCATTCCACTCCCTCTCCCACCGACGCTCAGTAGCAGCAGTGTGTACTATCTACAGGATGCACTGCACAAATTCCAAACCTACATCTGCTTCCATCTAGAAGGAGAACAGTAGCAGCAACATTCTAAAACTCCCTCCCTAAGTTATGTTTATTCTCTTATGGGATGTGGGTTTGGCTGGCTAGGCCAACATGGTTGTCCATCCCTAATTGCTCAGAAGACAGTTAAGAGTCAAATACATTGTTCTGGGCGTAGAGTCAGATGTAGGCTAGACCACGTAAAATTGGCAGATATCCCTCCTGAAAGGATATTATTGAACTTGATGTGCTTTTATGATAATGGGCAATGCTGACGCAGTCGTCATTACAATAGTGTTTTTAAATTCCAGATATTTATTGAATTGAAATGCCATGCTATCTGTCTTGGTGGGATTTGAAGTCATGTCCCCAGGACATTAACCTGAAGGTTTTGGATCACCAGGCTAGTGAGATTACCACTACACCACAACCTCCTCTTAACTAACAGCATTATGTGTGTTCATACACCAAATGGATTACAGTTAATCAAGAAAGCAGCCCACTACCACTTTCCCAATTGCATCAAGGGAACAGTGCTGTACATTGTGCAATCATCGGTGAACATCCCCACTTCTGACCTTATGATGGAGGGAAGGTCGTTGATGAGGCAGCTGAAGATGGTTGGGCCTAGGACACTACCCTGAGGAACTCCTGCAGAGATGTCCTGGAGCTGAGATGACTGACCTCCAACAACCCCAACCATCTTCCTATGTGTCAGGTATGACTCCAACCACAAGAGCGTTTGCCCCCTGATACCCATTGATTCCAGTTTTGCCAGGGCTCCTTGATGCCGCACTCAGTTGAATGCAGCCTTGATGTCAAGGGCTGTCACTCTCACCTCACCTCTGCAATTCAGCTCTTTTGTCCCTATTTGAACCAAGGCTGCAATGAGATCAGGAGCTGAGTGGCCCTGGCGGAACCCAAACTGGGCGTCACTGAGCAGGTTATTTCTGAGCAGGTGCTGTTTGATAGCACAGTCAGTGACACCTTCCATCACTTTACTGATGATCGAGAGGAGACTATGGGGCGGTAATTGGCCGGGTTGGATTTGTCCTGCTTTTTATGTACAGGACATACCTGGGCAATTTTCCACATTGTCAGGTAGATACCAGTGTTGTAACTGTACTGGAACAGCTTGGCTCAGGGAGTGGCAAGTTCTGAAGCACAGGTCTTCGGTACTATTGCTGGAATGTTGTCAGGGCCCGTAGCCTTTACAGCATCCTGTGCCTCCAAACGTTTCTTGATATCACGTGGAGTGAATCAAATTGGCTGAAGACAGGTATCTGTGATGCTGGGGATCACTGGAGGAGGCCGAGATGGAGCATCCACTTGGCATTTCTGGCTGAAGATTGCTGCGAAAGTTTCAGCCTTATCTTTTGCACTGATGTGCTGGCCTCTTCCATCATTGAGGACAGAGAGATTTGCAGAGCCTCCTCCTACAGTGAGTTGTTTAATTGTCTATAATGTTCCCTCTAAAGCTGCACAGCTGATCGGTCTGTGGTCGCATTAACTTCCAGCTCCAGAAGCTATTACCGTGGACAGACATTGGAGATTTATGCAGTGCCAAGATAAACAAGAAGGAATGTAACTTGACCCTTCAGCATTGCAAAGCCTACATCTGATCTGTTGGTTGTGGAATCACTTAGCTGCCACTTGCAGTTGGCACATTGTAGTCCTGTTTTGTAGCTTCACCAAGTTAACACCTCATTTTTCAGTATGTTCTTACTTCTTGTTGATTCCATCACCTCCTGACGTTCCCTCCTGCACTCTCCATTGAGCTAGGGTTGATGGTAATGGTTGAGTGGGGGATATGCCAGGCCATGAGGTTGCAGGTTGTGCTGGAGTTGTTGATGGCCCATAACATCTCATGATGTCCAGTCCTGAGTTGCTGGACCAAGGAATCTTCCCAGAGACACAGTGTAACTGTAAGACCTGCAAGAGAAATCTTTCATATGGTTCCTCTTGTCAGTCAAATTCAAGGAAAATGACAAAAACAACACCAGAAACTCTACTTTTATAAAGTTGACCAAAGCTTTTGACTCACTGAAGAGCAAGCATCTGTGAATTGTATTGTAAAGATTTGAATGTTAAATAAACATCTTCACAATCTGTCAGCTGCTTCCCAATGTTAAGACTGTAACTGTCTTCATTAGGAGACTGGAAACAAAATCCAGCCTGGGGTGAAACAAGGCTGTGTCCTTGTCAGTGGCTGTTCAAAAATGAGCAGTCTCTGCTGTGAATATTAAACAGCACTTCAATGGAAAACTCTGTAACTCAGGCACCTCCACGCTGAAACCATACTGACCAGAGATACACACAGAGTGATGCTGTACAGTATAACAGTGGCTGCAGTGTCAATGCTCACTCAGTATCAGGTTTGTAAAACTCTCTCAATCTCTTCAGTCCTGCAGACATGAAGCTTGGCCAAAACAAAATTCATTTATCACCCCTAGATCCAATCAGCCAAATATTCCAAACACTCCCACCCTCCCCTCCCGAGACGCTAGAACCAGCCACCTCTTTCTGAAAGACCTGGTCAGCCTTCAACAAGCTTCCACAGCGAGTGTCTGACAACAAAAACCTCCACGATTTAACCAAACTCGAGTAGGCAAAGCAATTGTCATTACCACACTGCTGGACCGCAGAGAGACCTGAGCTGTGTATCAAAAACACATTAAAACATTGGAGAAATTCCAACAGCAATGCCTTCACCACTACCTTCAAATCCAACGTGAGAACCATCAAACAAAGGCTCGTGTCCTCATTGAAGCCAAATCCAGAAGCATTCAGGCAAAACTCCTGCAAAACCAGCCACAATGAACTGGTACTGGGTCTGAATGGACAACATGGCTCTGCACACCAGACCAAACAAGTCTGACCAAACCAAAAGAGAACCCCACAAAGACTTTCTGAAGGCATTTCTGAAATGCGGCTGCACCACAATACCAACCACAGAGAGCACTGACAACTTCTGGAGTCCACTCTCTCATGGCACATCTGCCCGCATGTGGCTCAAAGTCTGTGGCCAGTCCCCTAACCACCCAGAGACCCACAGAATGTCAGCTTCCAGTTAGGGGACAGGCACAATGATGATGGGATACAGAGTAAAGCGCCCTCTACACTGCCCGAGTCCTCCCAGGACAGGGACAGCACGGGGTTAGATATGGAGTAAAGCTCCCTCTACACTGCCTGAGTCCTCCTAGGACAGGGACAGCACGGGGTTAGATACGGAGTAACGCTCCCTCTACACTGCCCGAGTCCTCCCAGGACAGGGACAGCACAGGGTTAGATACGGAGGTGTAGTCTGGAACCCTGGACGTATGAGATTACCAGAAGCCAATCACAAACTTTCTGGTGGGGGTCATCCTGATTAGGACTTAATTGCCATTTTGTTCCGCAATAGGATGGGCTATTCCGAGGTTACTCAAAACCCCAGTACCGGGCCAACTCATTAAACAGAAAATCAGTAATTGTGGGATTTGATGAATTCGGATTGGGAAACGTAGCAGGATTTAGGTTAAAAACCCAACTGATTCAACTGGCCTGCTCTGAGCTGCCTCTCTCAGCACAAACTGTGACCAATTGCTCCTGAAATCATAATGTATTCAGTTTGTCTGGCTCATATCACCCCAACATTGTTCACTGCCCACAATAGACCATTCGACATTGCAACCCGTACTTAAACAAAGTTTTTTACATACAATGATGCTTGCAGCCTCTTGGCAAAGTTCATGTCCATCCTAGGCCAGGAATCTGATAGTGATGGAGATTCAAACACATCATCCTGCATTGAGTAACCTTCATCAGGAGCATCGATCTGTGAGGAGTGATACCAAACATACCGTGTGTTACCAGCTCACATTTCAATCAGTTCCCCATCACCAAGACACAAATAGATCAGGAATATTCTTGCCTTACTAAAAAATGAGGAGTCCAGAGGTTCTGGACTGTCAATGACATCTTCCATAAAGTTGCTGGGATATACAAAGCTTTTTTTGTTTCTTCTGTGTGGAGGTGGTCTCAGAAGAGGACGACCCTGGGTTAGGAATCAGGCACACATTAAAACATTCCTCAAACTCTCATCTTCTCAGTGTCTCCCAATTTTCATCACTCATCGTTTTATTTGGCTGGGCCCCAAGCCCTGGAATTCCCTCCTAACATCTTCCAACCTCTCTCTGTAAAACACTTCTAAAACTTGTAACTCTCCTCAAAGTTTTGGTGATTTTAGCTCTCCATAGCTCCCAATCTCTCTTGGTGTCATATTGAGCAGTACGAACTGAATGTTTGATTGATTGTAGAGACAGAGAGCCTAATTCACCACTCTGCTCAGAATACACAATCCTTCTGGATCTCTGCTTCCCTCCCTGCTCCATGCAGAGCCTTCTTGCACTCCTCGCTGCCTCCTACTGTGCTCTCACCGTTATCACAGCCGATGCTGCTCGCAAACTCATTCGTACGACAGACTCCCGTTTCCTGGGGATCATTCCCACATATCCCGACTGGGAGTTTCGAAATGAACCAAGTGAATTGAGAGGAGTCTGTGCTGGGTGGGGAGTCCCAGACTGATCCACAGTGTCAGCATATTGAAGCACACAGCCCTGTGCAAAAGGATCAATGATCTGAGAATAAAGAGAACAGTATCAAATGAAAAGCTGATATTCCCATCAATCACTCCAATTCTGTCCCAAGCCCACACTCTCTCTAATTTCCCCTGTATGGCCTCATACCCTCTGTGCACTTTGGATGCAAAAATAAAAAGGCAGATTACTACCTGAATGGCTGTAAATTGGGAGAGGGGAGTGTGCAGTGGGACCTGGGTGTCCTTGTGCACCAGTTGCTGAAGGTAAGCATGCAGGTACAGCAGGCGGTAAAGAGGCAAATGGTATGTTGGCCTTCATCACGAGAGGTTTCGAGTACAGCAATGGGGATGTGTTGTTGCAGTTACACAGGGCCTTGGTGAGGGCACACCTGGAATACTGTGTACAGTTTTGGTCTCCTTTTCTGAGGAAGGATGCTCTTGCTCTCGAGGGAGTGCAGCGAAGGTTTACCAGGCTGATTGTGGGGATGATGGGTCTGACGTATGAGGAGAGATCGACTAGGTTAGGATTGTTTTCACTAGAGTTCAGACGAATGAGGGGGGGTCTCATAGAGACATAAAATTCTAACAGGACTGGACAGGGTGGGTGTATCCAGAACCAGGGGTCACAGTCTGAGGATTCAGGGTAGACCATTTAGGATGGAGATGAGGAGACATTTCATAGAATCCTTACAGAGTGGAAACAGGCCATTTGGCCCAACAAGTCCACACTGGATCTCCGAAGAACATCCACCCAGACCCATTATCCTACCCCGATTTCCCATGTCTAACCTAACTATCCCTGGGCACTATGGGCAATTTCCCACGGCCAATCCACCTAACCTGCACATCTTTGGACTGTGGGAGGAAACTAGAGCACCCAGAGGAAACCCACGCAGACACAGGGAGAATGTGCAAACTTCACACAGACAGTCATCCGAGGGTGGAATTGAACCTGGGTCCCTGGTGCTGATGAGGCAGCAGTGCTAACCGCAGAACACCACCATGCTACCCAAAGAGTGGTGAGTCTGTGGAATTCATTACCAGAGAAAGTAGTTGATGCTAAAACATTGAACATATTGAAGAGGCATCTAGATATAGCACTTCGGGGAAATGGGATCAAAGGTTATGGGGAGAAAGCAGGATTAGGTTATTGAGTTGGATGATCAGCCATGATCGTGAAGAATGGCGGAGCAGGCTCGAAGGGCCGAATGGCCTCCTCCTGCTCCTATCTTCAATGTTTCTCTGTAACACCACCAATAACATTCACTGACACACTTGCATACAACTAACATACTTCAGATCAACTCACACACCCAAATTCATAACACCCAACAAAGCCACAAGATTGACCCCACTCAACTCTGACCTCCCCTTCCTCATCTGTGAACCCACCCAAATACCCACCCAACTGCCATCAAATCCTGCATAGAGTCAATTCCTGACCTTCCAGATTCACACACTCGGAATACACCAGTAATTCCTGCCTCCGAAATTCCTCAACCCATTTATTGCTTAATGAGGGGTGACACTTAAAGAAGCTGAGGTATAACAGGGTTATCACTGCAGGAGACTGCATTCACCCAATTCTAAACTGATAATGTCAGAGTGTGAAAGACGACTGCTTTTCAAAACTTTGTACAGACATAAAACAATGGAGCCAGACTGCAAATGGGGTACAGTACAGCAGGAGGCAAAAACTGAAATTGTTGGTGAAACTCAGCAGGTCTGGCAATGTCTGTGGGAAGAATGCAGAGTCAATGTTTTTAAGGCCAGCAACTCTTCATAACTGGAGGCAGGAGGCAGCTTTGTAGATAACCCATTCTCAATTATGAGGGAGCCCAGAACATCAGTGAAAAAGATAAGGCTGAAGCATTCAAAGAAATCTTCAGGCAGAAGTACAAAGTCATTGATCCATCTCGGCCTCCTCCAGTGGTCCCCTGCATTACCGATACCAGTCTTCAACTAATTCAATTCACTCAATGTGATAAAAAGAAACAGTTGGAGACACCGGATACTGCAAAGGCTACGGGCCCTGACAACATTCCGGCAATAGTACTGAAGACTTGTGCTCCAGAACTTGCCGCTCCCCTAGCCAAGCTGTTCCAGTACAGTTACAATACTGGTATCTACCCAAGTATGTCCTGTTCACAAAAAGCGGGACAAATCCAACCTGACCAATTACTGCCCTATCAGCCTATTCTCAATCATCAGTAAGGTGATGGAAAGTGTTATCAACAGTGCTATCAAGTTAAGAACGTATGGGATACATCTGCCTTTATCGGTCATGGCATACATTATAAGAGCAAGGAAGTTATGCTGGGACTGTACAGGACCTTGGTTAGGTCACAGCTGGAGTACTGTGTGTAATTCTGGGCCCCTCACTATAGGAAGGATGTGATTGTACTGGAGGGGGTGCAGGGGAGATTCACCATGATGTGGCCTGGGATGGAGCACTTCAGCGATGGGGAGAAGCTGGAAAAGCTCAGGTTATTTTCTTTTGAGCAGGGTAGGTTGAGAGGGGACCTGATAGAGGTGTGTGAGGATTATGAGGGGCATGGACAGAGTGGCTAGAAAGCAGCTGTTTCACCTTAGTTGAAGCATCAATAACACGGGGGCATCATTTTGAAGTGAAAGGGGGGAGGTTTAGGGGGTTGTGAAGAGCAAACATTTCACCCAGAGAGTGGTGGCATTGTGGAATGCACTGCCTGGGAGGGAAATTGAGGAGGGAAACCTTGGAACGTTTAAAAAGGACCTGGATGACCACTTGAAATACCATAGCATCCAAGGTTATGGATCTAGTGCCAGAAAGTGGGACTAGCGTAGACTTAGAGTTGTGTATTTTTGGTGGTACAGACTGGATAGGCCGAAGGGCCTCTTCTATACTGTGTGATTCTACAATTGTATGATTCTATGGAAAAAGGAGCTGACTCTGGAGGTGAGGTGAGAGTAACTGCCCTTGATACCATGCTGTATTTGACCAAATGTGAGTCTAGCAAAACTGGAATCAATGGCAATCTGGGGAACATTCTCTGCTGGTTGGAGTCATACCTGACACATAGGAAGGTGGTTGTGGGTGTTGGAGGTCAGTCATCTCAGCTCCAGGACATCTCTGCAGGAGTTCATAAGGAGGAGGTGTTAGCAATTCTGGAAGGTGTGAAAATAGATAAGTCCCCTGGGCCGGATGGGATTTATCCTAGGATTCTCTGGGACGCTAGAGAGGAGATTGCAGAGCCTTTGGCTTTGATCTTTATGTCGTCATTGTCTTCAGGAATAGTGCCAGAAGACTGGAGACTAGCAAACGTTGTCCCCTTGTTCAAGAAGGGGAGTAGAGACAACCCTGGTAATTATAGACCAGTGAGCCTTACTTCGGTTGTGGGTAAAGTGTTGGAAAGGATTATAAGAGATAGGATTTATAATCATCTAGAAAGGAATAATTTGATTAGGGATAGTCAACACGGTTTTGTGAAGGGTAGGTCGTGCCTCACAAACCTTATTGAGTTCTTTGAGAAGGTGACCAAACAGGTGGATGAGGGTAAAGC